TTCAGGTAAGTTATGTTTTATGTATGAGCAATAGACTAAATGATTTAAGACTCCAGAAAAAAAGCATGAGTGTTAGATGTTTTCAAGTCTCCTGACATGTAAATTGAGAAGTAGTAGTAGTATAGGAGAAAATAAAACTTCATCCTATGACAATGTATTTTTAAATGGTACTAAGTGAATTTATAAAGATTATAGAGCCCCCTCGCACTAGAGTGGCCATGCAGGTCTTGCAGACGTGGAAAAGCTGTGATGTCTGAATATGGGTCTCCAAGCCTCGGCAAGATAGACACCACAGCCTCATTTCTGTAGATGCCATTGCTAGTGTATTTTGCCAGATATTAAAGAGGAAAACCTCCTGGAGTGAGAACTGTACTTCCTACTGTCTCCTTATAAACTGGCACTTAGAAACACCATGTATAAGGGCTGGGGCAGGGGCTCAGTGGTAGAGTACTTGCCTAGTATGCCTAAGGCCCAGAACTGTAAAAAAGGAAAATTGGTTGTAGAAGTCTGGAAACTGGGAGCCTCCAAAACCAGTTCTAGGGGAAGAAGTTTTTGACACTGAGTTTTCTACTTGAGGACCTTTGAATGATGGAATGACGTGCCTCATTTGGGAGCCCTGTGGGAGTAGCATATGCTTCTAGGAAGGTGATCTTCTAGAGTCCTTTTTTATCCTTAATAGTGAAGTTGTAGGGAGGTGAGGATGGTGCAGAGCGACCTTTCTCTCCATCATGTTGATTTGTAGGACCAACTAGAGGTGAAGTGGAAAGGCCATTGTCCAATGTGGAGATCTAGATAGCTAGTAAGTAAGTAGCTCATACACATGCCCTAGTCTGAGAAAGCTACTCTTCCAGCAGTTGGTCTCATGGTAGATTCTGCCATTGTTGGCCATGGTGTTCTTACAAAATCATAGGCCTTAGGGCAGGGGACTAATACTTAACAGCTGGACTTTTTCTGTTGTTTTGAGCATGTATGTACACTAGGGGCTTGTGGTGTTAGAACTAGTTTTTGACATCCCTTTAGTAAAATCACAGTTAATCCCAAATGCAGAGTCTTCAGAGGATGGCACATCTGATTGATATATTTTGCAGCCCCCATCTCTCCCCTTGGGACCGTGTACCCCAGAGTTCCTGTTGATACTTGAACTACCCCCGCCCCCATCCCTATGGGCTGAAGATATCCAGCCTGAGACCAAGTCCTAGAGAGAAAGGCCTGAGGGGGAGGACAGAGATAGCTATTCTAAGCAAGTTTGAGAGAGCGGCAGTGACCAAGTGTGCTTCCTAGAGGTTGAAAGCAAGTGAAAGCCAGGCCACTCCCTGGAAACTGGGTTGGTCTCTAGAATCAGGTGCTGAGAGAAAAGCAGTCCTAACTAACAGGAACCTGAGAATGCCAGCATGAGGCACACGGATGGGAGGGCTACAGGCACCTCTGGGCTGCACTAAGCAGCCCTCGCTTTGTAGAGCAGAGAAGTGTGTTCCAGAGCTGAGCAGGAGGCAGGCTCAATTTGGAAGCCATTGTTGCTCTTTCCAGTTGAGCAGTGGGCGGCTAAACTAACTTAAGACCTGTAACAACAATCAGGCCAATATGTGGGACTCTGTTTTACTTCAGCTACTTTGTAAATCTTCCTGATGGGAGAAAACATCACTACAGGACAGGATTCAATGGTTCCACTGAGCTCAAATTCTGAGACAAGTTAATGATGGAGAAAATCTGCTAATTCCACTGTGACTAGAAAGACAGTTGTGTGTGTGTGTGTGTGTGTGTACATGTGATTACATCTGCTATGTGTATGCAGTGTTCTCATTTCAACTGGCAAATACATTTGCTTCCAATTTCTCTCACACAATGTAGATAAAAAGTTTAATTATTAGCTGGTAACATCTCCAGCTACTACATTAAGAAAAATAATGTACACCAGTGTACATGATTCAAAATTATCCCAATTTTGCACCCTTTGTATAAGTTCTTCCTTGATAAAAGAGATTAGTTAGTCCTGGTTACTAACTACTTCCCTGGGCTGAAGAAACATGCTCAGATGTCCTATGGTTATAGGCAGAGCCAAAATGTCATTTTTTTAGTAGACCCTGGACCAAAAAACCCCACGCAGTTTTCTAAAAAAATGTGTGTGTGTGTGTGTGTGTGTATATAAACAATTTAAGGGAAAATTCATTTATTTGCCATTTCTTATCTGCCATGGGTCTTGTTTACCACTCGTTTCTTTGCATGTGTCCACTTAGCCCATGAAGAAGTATGCCCAAAGGGGGTTAGTGTGCAGAGCCCAGCTCTGGAACTTCAAACCTGGGCCTTTCCCACTGAGCCACCTTCATTCCTACTATAAGAAAGAGTCCAAATTACCCTTCAGAGAAAAGGACGCTTGTACGTTATAACAAATACAGACAGAAAAGAGTCTGACAAATAATGTTTAAAAAAATATTTTGTAGTGTGCAGTTATTAAAGCACAGCCCATTGTCAATAAAGATGTATTAGTACATTTATTTTTTTAGTACTGATTTATTATGACCTTTAACACTATTGATGAACATCATTAGCATAATTTCTTTAATAAAGGGAAGTAAACAGCTGGTTTTCACTTGAATTCTTCAGCTAAATTATTTCATTATTATGCATAAAATTTCTATTTAGGTTGATTCATGCCAAGAATGTTCATTTTAAATATCTACTCTTGATGTGTCCTTTCCTCCCCCATTCTCCCTGATCTACTCCTGGCTATGGAGTAAGATAATGCAAGTTTTCCCACGAGAGAGTTATATAAGTTTAGAATAGCAGCTTTTGGAATGATAGAAAAGAAAACTCAATGATCTTATTTTTTAAATGGCATGTAGAAGCACATCCTTCTATTCATATTAAAATGCTTACCTGCAGTCAAATTTTATAATTTTTATTCAGAAGCATTTAAAATTTTCATGTGTGTATAGGTTTCACAGGGCAGCACCTAAAACTCCCTCAGCTTTCATGTGTGGAAGAGAACAGCAGATTTTTACTTGCATTTTCAAGTTTAACCATAAATTATTAATTTATGTATATTATAGTATAATTATATATTATAGTATGTGCAGTTTTTTTTCTGGGGTAGAAGCGCTAAGTAGAATTTGTTAAGCAACTCGTATGTCATGTGACATTTAAGCTCTTTCCTGTTAGAACAATACGTAATTCTTATGACTTTTCTATAAAAGGAAAGCCACACAGACATCTCATTACTGCTTATGGGTTTTTATTGGAGATTTCCATATTGTTGCAGCCTTAGATAAAACTATAGGAAAAAATGATTATACTTAGGCTAGCTGTATACATCAAACAGTTGGAGGGCCCCTTCAAGCTAAACAGGTACTTGCCAGCAACCCTAGCAACCAAACTCAAACCAGGAGGAAAACAACCTTTCGTAAGGACCAGCATGCCAGCTGTGACCTCAGAGAAGGCTCAGCTCCCAGAAAGAAGTCTGACCCATCCTCCTCTTCCTGGCACATAGTTCAACTCTTTGGGTTTGCTGCAGGGAATGGAGCCAGATCACTTCAAGATCAAACGGAAGTGGTGGCCAGAAGAGAGTCCCTCCCACTAGTCACCCTTTTCGGTCCATGTCTCTTGGGGAACCCCTGATTCTCCTTCCTCAGTACTGCTGCTGGCAGAATTCAGAAGTTTGGCAGAATGGCCAGGAATGGCCCTGTGCAGTGACGTCATAATTATTTAGGGAAAATTATTCTTGAACAAATATAGAAAACTAGGACAGGACCAAGCTTGTGGAAGGAAAAACTTGACTCAAGAGGGGTCAAAAAACCCATTTCTTTTAATATTGTATATTCAGCTTTTTGTGAGTCAAAAAATGTGGAAAGTTCGAGGAACCAAGGGAGAGAAGAGTTGAGTGGGCTTTAGCCAAGTCTTGAGTCAAAAAAGTTTGTATCTTGGTATCAGTTTCCTTGATAAACAGGTACTTATTGCCCAGAAGAGCTACAATCTCTTTATTTTCTCCCGCCAAAAGTAATACTCCAGTGACACCTCCTGCACCATTTTGTTTAGATTTTCTAGTTAACTCCCAGAAAAATCATGGTGGCAGCTTTGGATTGTTTTCCTACTCAGTTCATGTACATTAAGAAAACAGAGACAATTTTCAAATGAAGTCCTAGCTAGCCCTGAATAATATGAAATTTTTATAAGTAGGTACCCCCCCCCCCCTTTTCCCTCCCTGGTTCAAGTTTAGGACTAAGTGAAGAGGAACTGGAGAGTTTCCAGAGGATAGTAATGAAAATGATTAAAGGGCTGATGATGAAAGGTTCAAGGAATTGGGATTACTTAGCCTGGAGAGAAATTTGAGGGGTGATTTAATGGCAATGTTCAAGTACAGTATGTGGAGGGTTATTACAAGTATGGTAGCCAGCTGTTCCCCAGCTGTATTGAAGGGTGGAAAAGGGAAACAACTAGAATTTCAGCAAGTGATTTAAGTTAGACCGGTGGTATCAGTGATTCCCAAAGTAGCTCAAGGTGTAGAAAACCACTGTGGAAGACCATGAAATACTGTTTCAAACTTAAAATGTTTTTGCTATATCACATACCAACTTACACATTAGTTTAACAAAAGCTTATGGTAAAATTATAGAAAACAAACTCTAGACTGTGAAAATGCTGCCTGGGAAGATGAGCTGGGTGAAGACTTTCCTTCACCACGGGGACCCCATGATTTGGGGAGCCCAGGCTGGAAACCAGCAAGTTGTGAAGAGGAAACAGCTTGTCTTCAGGAAGGGACTCACTACCATCTGGATCAGGTGACTCTTCTTTCTGCTGACCCTGTTTTATATCTATACCAAGCAACAAGGGGAGGCCTCAGTAGTACAACTGCTCTTGAGGATGCAGGCCTAGGAGATAGGTGAAGCCATGCCAGCAACACCCCTCTGACATGGTCTGCTGCTGTTCACAGCCTCATTCTGGCCTAACCTGTAGATTTAGTTCATTACCAACTCTGATCATCAGGAACTTTACTCTTAATAAAATGACACTTTTAAAAAAATGTTTTATTACAAAGCTTCTTTTAAAAAATGCTCAGCACGTTAACTCAAACTGGAATGACAAATGTTAGATGACAATTTGGGGCAAAGGCTGTGCCTTGCTATTTAAAAAAAAAAAAAAAATGGGTACATCAATGCTCATTTTAACAACTGGCATAAAATCCCACTAATTGGCTAATAAAAACAGATACAAATACAGAACATTTAAAGTAATAACAATTCAAGTGCTGGGCTTTTTACAACAAGGGAGTGAAAAGGAAAGAAATGAAAATTCACTGCAAACCAGTCTGCTGACAGTATCTGTTAAGGTTTACCATTTAAAAAAAGAAAAAAAAAAAAGAAAAAGTGAGTGAAATAGGATTGCCAATTGCTACCAACAGTGGATTTGGCTATTATGTTTATTTAGCTCTATCGAACACCTTACAAGGACAGAGGCCATTATTCATTACAGGCAATTCACAGAGAAGCCACTTATTAGACAAGATGTCTCAGAAGAGGCTTCTTTTCATTTTGTTTTTATTTCAAACTTTTCCAGACCTTTGAATTTTTTTTTAAAGCTCATAGCTAGCAAAATATACAGGAAAATTAAAACTAAGAAGTGTAATTTTTAAAAATTCAAGTTAAAAAAAAAAAGAAGCAAACATAAGATTGATCTTTTGCACTGTTAAATAAAAGCTTTTAGGAGAAAGGAAGAGAAAGAAAAATGAAGACAGAAACAAAGGGGGAACTCTTCCACAAATTCCTCCACTGGGGTGCTGATAGATGTGCTGGTTGCTGGCTCCAGTTGCGCGTGGCAGGCACACGGAGCCAAGTTACTGTCCTTGCCAAAAGGTACAGGTATGGACGCAAGATGCTCTGGGACGTGCACTCAGAGACGAGGGGAGAAAAGCTGCTCAGCTGACCGGGGCCTGCTAGCATTCTCATGTGCTTTTTAATTTCTTTTTCTAAAAAACAACCTTTTTATGCTTTCTTTTGGAAATTGGCTCTTGCAGTAGACAAAAGGTGAGTTGGCAGTGATTGTCTCTATGGATCAGCGTCTCTAGCAATGACCTCAGGGTAACGTTGGTGTCAGTGCTCCTTTGGGGTCGACTGGGCAAGCCGTGGAGACAGTCTGGGTTTTAACAAGCTTCCATCTCCAGAAGAGGTCCTGGGGTCGCTGCCTTGGCTTTGCACGTTGGGAATGAGCTTCGTTTTCCACCTCGGAAAGAAACAAATGAAATGCTATTAATATGAATTTGCCACTGGCCTTTAAAAGACTGTTGTAAATAATTTTTATTACATACAGCATATGTAGACTTTAATTCATTCATTTTGTTGCTTTGATGATGGCTAAAATGGATTGCCCTATGGTAGCCAAAACCCCTCAGAATTATATCACAAAGTATAGTGTATTGAACATTTTACTTTAGCTCCACGTATGTGTATGTACAGGGATGTGACTTGAGAGGTATTTAATATGTTGGGTCATGGTTACATAACACATTTAAAAACACCAAGATGAAGGGGCCAAACATGAATTGGAAAGGTGGGCAATACAGCCAAACCAGGGAAAGGTTTGTCTTTTTCCCAAGTGTTTGGTGGTTTCAGTCCACTGAGGGGAGCCATTGTAAGAGTCTACGCAGGACTAAAACAGATTCAAATTATCAGATGTGTCACCAACTCCCTCAATAGCAAGCCCAACACAAACTGGATGTACTGTGTCCACTCAGTCACAGTTCAAGGCACGTAAACCTCTCCACTTTTCCTTCAGGTGATGCTATCCTCAGGACTGTTTCCCCCTCCCCCCCCATAACCTGTAACTTCTCTAATGTTAGCCTGGGAACAGACCCTCAGCAAATATTTTAAAGTAACTGTTGCTAGATACTGGTGGCAATGATGACTTTCAAAAAGGAAAACCCCATTCTCAAAATGATATAATGATTTGAGAGTTAAAAAGTGATGAAAAGTAAAATTTAACATAAGGAGAAGAGATGAAAGCAAAAGAACAGAACATTATGGCACAGCGCAGAGCATTCCCCCATGGCTCCATCTGGCCACTGAGGACCAGAGAAGGTAGAGCACTTCATCCAGAGTCCGCAATGACCTCACATGAGCCCATCTCTCACTATGGTGGCATCCTCAGTACAAGCACAAGTTTCCTCTCAATTAATTCTACATAAGACTGGGCTTCTGTATGCTTTGCATGTAAAGAGAAATTGGAGGAGAAACAAAAAGGAGCTATGATTTTGTTTAATAATGAACACACAACTCTGGAAGGCTCTTCCACAGGACAATGATCTACAGATGGGCTGTGGATCTGTCTCCGGGCTGCTGTTAGCAGTAGTTTGCCCCAGACATTTAAATACCTTAAGTACACCAAGCCTGTGAGCATGTTCTCTAATATTACTGCAATTACTACCAGCAGTGTCTCTAAAAATGCCTGATCTGAAATGTGAAGACACTATTTGTGTACCTGGGTAGCTACTGAAATAAAAACAAAATGAATACTAAGAGAAAGTAGTCTCAACTGAGGAGGTGAACTTCGGTGACAATTCTAATTCCTATTCTTTAAAATTAACCTTTGTTTAGACAGAAAACATAGTACAGCATTTTTTTTCTTTAACTGAATAGGGGGTACCTATCCCTCTTCACTTAGGAGGATCAGAGAGCTCCCAAGGACCCCACCTTTCCAAGGACTTCAGCAGAGCTTGAGATGGGCAGTGGGGCTGCCCACAGATTCCTATTTACACTGTACTTTTTGCATCACACAGATTATCAAAGGCTTCGTCCAGGTTGTCCTTCCTGGGAAGGCTGTCCTCTCTGACATGAAAATGTTGAGTTTCCAAATAAGGTATGTCCTTGAAGTCCTGGGCTTTGGGCCTGAAACAAGCTGCTGTAATTCAAAATTAGCCACTCACAGTCAGGAAGGCCTGTCACTGAAACAACTTGTCCCTCCATGAGGGTCTGTCCCTACCCTCAGCTGCAGGCTGACTGATATTTCTGCGGCAGACTTGCTGGGACCCCTACTCTGAATCAGAGCTTTACACTTCCCAGTCTATAACACCAGATGCTTCCTACTTACCCAGAATCCTCCTGACTCCTTGCCTCACACCTAAAAATGCTTCCCTTCCCCCATTCTTGAGTATAAATGACAACATAATTAAGACAAACACGGCAACTTGCCTAAAAAGTCATTCCTTTCTACAATCACATTTTTGCACCCATTATTTCATCATTCCATAGTGTCACCTTGCAAATCCTCATGAAAAGTTGGCTTTGGAGAACCTCTGTTCCACTGCCTTCCAAAAATCACCTCATTCCCTCCAGGGGCACTTCGCTAGTGGTGAACCAGTGCTTAAAAAAGCAGTGAAGAAATGTGCTCGCTGTCCAACAGGCAGTTTGTCCTTGGTCACTCTGTGGAGACACAGGGTCCTCACGGTGGACTCACTCTTACCTCCAGATGGGGGAAATGGGGCTTTACAGTGTTGTCTGACAGATATAGAATGGCTCAAACCAAGATTCTTTTCGAGAAACCACAGGCATGAGGCTCGGAGACTGGAGACTTCCCACATGTAAGGCTTCAGTAGGGGGCTGTGGCAGGGGCTGGGCAGGGCCAGGCAAGCCCCAACACAGCCCAACCTACCAGTAAAGTCCATGCCATCAAAGCCATCAATTACTGCTCTGGCTGCAGGTTGGCTTCAAAGGGGAAGCAGCAAGTCCCATCCTCTGTATGTTAAGGCCCAGAGTCCTTCCACAAGAAGTCACCATGTGACCATCTATGCCGTGGGTTAAGCACAGGTCCCCAACCCAAACTGGAACCCTACTGCTTTTGGACCATGCTCCAAAACTGGCAAGACATCTCACTAACCAACTGGAACCAGGAATCCAAGCATGGCCTGAATGGTGCAGGCAAATCCATATATTTCAAGGGTAGACCCATTTCGAGGAGGTGAAGAGCACTGACCCCCAGCTTTCAGGCCTTGACAAAAAAGAAGTGAAGAAAGGGGGAGGGGGAAATTCCATCAAAAGCTGAGTAGCTGGCCAGACCATATTATGGGGTTCTTGTAGCCCAGCCTCCCCAGGCTGTCTTCTGCTTACCAGTGAAGCCTGAGGTTGAGAGGTGGGCAGGATAGGGAGGTCTCCCAGCATTCCCCACCCCCTGGGGCTCACTGGGTCAACAGAGGCTGCTGGCCTGGCAGGCGCAGCAGAGCGGGGCTCTGGAGACAAAATGCAACTTCTGCCACAATACTGTATAATTTCACTTGTTCAGAATTGGTGAGGAACCAAAAAAAAGTGAGTTAGAATAAAAGGCCTTTTCCCCCTCCACCTCACTCCCAGTTGCTATTAGCAGGGAGCAGGAACCTGAAAATATTCTTAGCTATGACATGGAATTTGAGGAGAGATAGAGATTAGTTTTGTGAGAGGTGAAGAGACAGATTTTAACTGCAAGAATTGGTTCACAGCAGCACAACACACACCTCATGCCAACTGCCTGTTTTTCTGCCTTGGGGAAAACTGACAAAAGCCTGTTATCCAAGGGCGTGAACTCCTCTGTTGCACAATGTTATGTGTGTGTGAAGAAAGGGAAGCACAGGCTTCCAGAGCGGGAAACAGGCACGACAGAGCCAGTCTGATCTTGTCCTTTTAGTGGAGGCCTAAGGTCATAAAGTGATTGGCCCAAGGAGACCCATGGAATGGCAGTGCTGGGCCAGTCTGCAGGCCTCCTGGTTCCACTTGGGCCACTTGCCTTGTTGACTTCAAGGTGGCCTCGTCTATGAGAAGCTTGTAAAGAGGAAGAAAAACAGTGTCTGCTGAGTGCTGATGCACCAGGCATGGGGACACAGACTTCACACAAACGATTTTCATGTCATCACCAGGATGGCTCTGCATGTTCACACCCATTTACAGGTAAGGAAATCAAGCCTGCATGCAGCTGAATAACTTGCTAAGTCATCCATCCAACAGGTGGCAGATCCTTGCCACCGTATCTGGGCGCTAAATTATCATTCATTTTTCTTCTTTTCTTCCTCCTACCTTCCCTCTGTCTGTCCATCACTAGGCCACAGTACCTTGATGCTAGTGGAGGTGATACATATCTAGAACACTGCAGCCACCCCCAGATATCACGATCTGATCAAAAGCTAGTGATAAAGAGAACCAAACACTTCAGTAAATTTTGAAATATAAATCTCCTAAGATTCAAACCATAACCTACACAAGCCAGCTTTAGCTCCTTGGCGGTAACATGATCCAGTGGTTGACAAAAGGAAGAATGAAAACATCTAGTGATGCAGGTTAAAAAAGTTTTGTTTCTGTAGCTGATTTAGTCCTTAGCCCCATGTTCAGGACCAGTCAGTCCCTAACCACAGAGCTCTGAAGCAGATTTCCAGAAGCCAGAGGAGGGAGAAAAGCTGGGACTATTAGCCCTGTCCTTGGATTCAGGTCAGATGGAAACTTAGGTTGACAGAGTCTACAAAGCTTTCTCCCTGTGATTACTCACAAGTGAATTATGACCATCAGTGATGTCGAGATGACTGAAATAGACCTGTGACAGACAGACTGCAACTCCAGGGCAATTTCTGGTTTCCATCCATATCTATGATAGTCCTGATCCATCTATAGGATGTACAGCCTATGAGGAGGCGAGGGTTCCAGGACATCAGACCTACTACCTTCTCCTACCACCAGACACGGAAGCCATGTTCTTGAGCAGACTTCTGAATAAGACAGCCTCAAAGCATATCAAGAGGACAACTAACTAGGCAGACCCACCCTCAAATTCTTTATCCAGTCCACATTTCTCTCAGTGTAAGGGAAGTTCTCCCACAGGAAAGACGCTAACTACACTTCCTAGAAATGAGGCAACAGGATCAGAACATTCTTATCTTTTATTTTCAAAACAGTATTTCTGCTTTCGTGCGTGTGCACATGCATATGTGAATGCACAAATAATGTAGGGAGGGGAACCCTTAGGGCAGATGGTCCTGGGTCAGGTGGGAATCCTGGCTCTACCAGGTTATCTTGGAAAAGTTACTCAGACATAAAACCCCAGTTTCCTCATGTATAAGATGGAGATATTAAGGGCCTCAATGCATTGAGGGGATGAAGAGAGACTGTACCTAAAAATGTAGAAAACTTCAGGCTAAATATGAATTAAGTAAAAAAGTAAGCACTCTTGTTCAGCTGAACTGCTTTCAATTTTTCTTTCATTCTGTCAAA